TTCTGTCCTGAAATAGTGCCCCAACATGGAGCATCACAGTGTACTCTGATTATTTCTGACAATTCTGACACTGGAAAAGGAGCAGCAGCGCTGAGCGATTGAAATGCAAGACTAGCAGGTAGGGAGTTGGGAGACTCCCAGTGCCTCCAACTCCCAATGTGATTTTGGGCGAGTCCCTTTGCTCCCAGTCTTGGTTTCTCTGCTCAGAGGTGCTGCAAGGCTCCATTTGCTAGTCTTGGCTTCTGTTCCCACCTCTGCTACCAACACCCAGGGGGCAGCAAACAAGTTGTTTCATAGATAGCTTTGTTTTACAAATGGGAAAACTGAGGCCTAATACAAAATATCACCGCTCAGAAGCGGTACAAGGCTTACATTCAGTCAAGTTTAAAATCCTTGAACGCAAAGTCTCAGAGAAGCTAACTGTGGTTCAATCTCCTTGGTGCTCACACAAACCCTTCCAGGGCCAACAATACAACAAAGAACATTACAAAAAACTTTCCCTTTCATTACAAATTCATCTTTAAAGGTGGAAGGAGGAGGAGGGGAAGAGAGCCACTTTAAAAACACAACTCTGCATTGATTCCTTTCCCATGCAAAACACATCATTTCTAAGAGCAGGGTCATCCATTACAGAGCTCCTGTGATGGCCCAACAGTCATAACCACAGGCTGTCAAAAGAACCCCTTTGAATACAGTCAGTACAAACACTGCTTTGAATTGCTAACAGATATCTGAGCATTAAAGTCACAATCCTTGATTGAACCAAATGGGTAGAAAGCCATTCTTATGTGCTATAGAATGGCTGCAACTTGCTTTTTAGAGATAACAATTCTGAGCGATGCATCTAAATTACTTTTTCTTTTTGCCTTACAAGTAATAGACAGGCTAGATATTACAGGACCTACAAGGCAAGAGAGAAAGCCACTGGGTAAGCTTTGCTACAGTGCGTATGTGCGTGCGAGAGAGATGTACAGAGAGCTGCCATCTTGTAAGATGTGTGCTATAAACCTCTGAAATTTTGGAAATGGAGCAGCTAAACAACTGGCTTGATTTCTTGACTCCCAGAGGCTGGGATGTGCCTCTGGGGCCCGTTTACATCATTATTCCTTAGATGTTTGTACAAACACTTTAAAGAAACCTTTCTGAGCTAATTGGGCCTGATTTTCCAGAGGTGCCGAGCTCCCCAAACTCCAATTAAAGTCCACAGGAACCACAAGAAATAAGGCTATTAGTGCAAAGTAAATTTATTGCTGTACTGCCAGACGGAAAGAAATTCTTTGTATATAAAGAGTATGGTTTTCTAGGTGGCATTTATGCAAAGTGGGTGTGCTTACCTGCTGTGTCCCAGGAACCTGGGCTGCACTCCCTTATAGTTTCATAGTTTTTAGGGTCAAAAGGGACCTGAGCAGAACATCAAGTCTGACCCCCTGCCATGGCAGGAAAGAGTACGGGGGTCAAACAACCCCAGCAAGGTGATTGTCAAGCCTTGTCTTAAAGACCCCCAGGGCAGGAGCCAGCACCACTTCGCTTGGAAGTTGGTTCCAGATCCTAGCTGCCCTGACAGTGAAGTAGCGCCTCCTGATGTCTAATCTGAATTTACCCTCTGCCAGCTTGTGACCGTTATTTCTAGTCACTCCTGGCAGTGCTCGGGGGAACAGGGACTCCCCCAATACCTGCTGGTCCCCTCTGACTAGTTAATGCCTGCTGGTCCCCTCTGACTTGTTATGCTAGAGGGCACTATGTCCTACAAGTGAGCACCACGGCTCTTGCTAGTAACAAGCGGACTGATTTGGACAGCTGGTAGTTCCTCTCTCACCCTAAACTGACTAACATGGTTAAGCCTAACAGATCCTGGGAGCATATTGCATCAGGGGGAAGGGGGAAAAGGGTTTCATTGCCTGCTCATGGCCACTTCACAATGCCCACATCACCTTTACCTATACCCCTTTAAGTGCTACTTGCCTGAAAGAGAGCAGAGGATAGCATAGGGAGGGATCCACCTCCCTTCTGCCATGTTAGAAAGGAGATTAAGCTACACTTTCTCTCCTGGTAGCACAGTGGATCTCAGCATTCACTGCCTATAAACCTGCAGGAGGAGTTCTGACTTCCTGGTAGACTTTGGCTGCTTTGTGGTGCTTCCACATTGTGAGGGCGCCCAGGGCAGCATCCAGCAAGGCTGGGCATGCTGGTGTCCTTACAAGATTTGATTTTCAGCACATAGCCACAGATAGTAGTTGGCATACAAGCCTGGACCACGGACCCCCTCGCTCTGCTCCGTCCTCAACATTTGTGCAAAATGCCACTATTCTGATTGAGAAGTGATCTGCCTGCTAAGGCATCACAGAGGTGAAATCTCACATAAATGAATAAAACCACCTACACTTGCATTTGTTAAGCCCTCATGGGCACAGCATTGCAAATCCAGCCTTGCATCACCTTTCTGCACCTGTCCTATTTAGAAGATATAAAACTAACTCATTCTGAATGAAATGAACAAGAGAGAGCCCTTTATTACAGGCAATGAGAAACCCATCAGGACCTGATTTGCACTAATGCAGCATTAAGAGATCACGTGAAAAATGTGTCTATATTTAAACTATCGCTTTGTCTGACTACCTAGTCACAGATTGAGCCATTTAGTAATGGCAAATAAATGGGAACCAGATCTCTGCCCAAGTTTGGATCTTCCCAGATCTTTCTTCCTTTAAAAGAAGGAATATCTATCCACAGCTATAGTTAGTTTGCAAGTTCACGGATCTCTGTGCTAAGTCAGTGTCCGTTCTAGAAAGAGATAAGTTATAGGTTTAAAATTCCAGAATTCTCATGGTGGCAATATAGGAGATGCTAGCGTATAGCCTACAGCTTCTAGAGGGACACCTCACAGTTTCTAGACTGTGGAGGCCAAGATCTATTCTAAAGCACAGTTAATTTCCAGAGTGTGAGATCCAGGTCAGCCACAAAACCCCCAGTTTCTCAGAGTACTAAAATGTAAGTATAAGGCTTATAAATATAAATTCCTCTTAAAATATCTATGGCTAAATCTTTACATGCTCTACAAACTAGTACAGTTCCACTGACTTAAGCAGAGTCACAATGATTTTCATCAAATTAGGATCTTGCTTCTGGGACATAAAGGTGAGAAAAAGGTTTTGTTTTGTTTTTTTTTTTAAAAAAATCAAGCTCTAGGCTAATGGTTTTAAAAATGCTTGAAGGAGAAGACTGCACAGTTGTTGGCCCAATTATAAAGGGACAGTTTCCAGAAAAAGCTTTATGCTATAAATTTCCAGCATAATCATATACAATCCAATCATTATCTTCTGTTCAGAAATGCACACAACGTGCAGAATCCCTCAGTCAAAGGATGAAATTAGTGGCAGCAACCCAAACTCCCTGACCTTAAAAACTCTGCCAAACTCCTTGTTCAAAAGTAGAAAACTATTTTCACTTTTGAAGGCTCTTACCAGTATTTTGCTCAATCTTTTTTATGAGCCATGTCTGGAGGAGCTATAAGTATAAATACATACATGAGTATCTGTTTAAGCATAAATATCAACCCTAACACACAAAAGATCAAAGTAAGTAAGTAACTGCATCCTAGCTTGGGTCTTCACCTCTCTTAAACCCCATGCTTATTATGTAACCAAGGGGACAGCCAAGTAAATTTTTGGCCTCTCCATGGACTGTTGGACCAGTATGTTGTATAATTATTAAGCAGACCACAGCATAATCAGATCTTGTCCCAAATGATCCTCAAGTAATCAAGGCCAGATAACACTACTGGACTGAACTATTTCAAGCAGCACAACCTGCCATGCTGTTTCAAGTGCACAGGGCTTAGCCAGTCTTGACAAAGCCACCCTCTCAGCCTTAGGGATTTCCAGGAAGTCTTTGCTTCTGTCTATTCCTGTTACTAGTCATCCTCAAACCAAAAACCTGCCACAGACCATTAGGTAATTCATAGCAAAACTAATAAGGGAGCTTCATATTTGAAAAAAGCCCAATATTACAAATAAGCAAACCATTGTTGATTACTAAATTCATTCAGTTCCTTTTCTTGTTCACAAGCCACCAGTGAACTGCTTTAGATTCTCTGGGAAATGCAAACGTACTCCAGCCTACCAACTGCTCATGAACCATTCACCATAATTATGGCTTCAGCGCATAGTGGCCATCTGAGCCACATGCTATTACTGCAGCTCATCAATTGGATGACTCTCCAAACTGTAAGGTGAACACTTTGGGCTCCAATACTACCTATTTGCAAGAACAATTTGTGATACTTCGGCTTTTCGAAAACAAAAAGATTTTGCTTGTCTGAAACATTCTCAAAGTGAGTAGGAAAAACTAAACAGACGCTCTGGGGGGAAGCTGCTGTCGGCATTTCAAGAATGGGCATCCACTCTTTTTTTTCTTTTTTTTTGCAACATCCAGACAGCCCTTCCTTGCTATAGTCTCTTCCTGTGACACGTCCTGGTTCAACACAAATGCTCCCCATCTGGATTTGGAGACTGGAAGCCACTTCCCTCCTCAGAGCTAGAAAAGGACCCACCGGAGAGTGGCAGATTGTGCTGCTGGAGAGGTTCCTGCGGAGCTGGCTTTGGAAAGGATGGGAACTTTATTTGCCTGCAGCATGCCCTGGGCACTGCCTGACCCCTCCTTCCCACCGCAGAAGCCTTGGAGGCATCTCCAGCCGGGCTCTTTTGTTATTTTCTCCCTCCATCTTTCCCTGACCCGCTCCCAACTCTTCCTTGAGGGGCCGACTAAACTGGAGCAGGACGTTTCTGCACCGCACCGGTGCATGGAGCAGACCCGCTCCCCCTCCCTCTGGCAGGGCAGCCCGGAGCAGGGACAGGGGCGGGGGGAAGCAGAGCCGGGGTTGGAAAGCGACCTGCCCTCCGCAGGGGTGCGGGCCGGGCTGGGACGGGACGGGACGGGACGGCCCCCGGGGGTGCCGAGGCAGAGGCTGGGGAAAGTTTGGCAGCCGGTGCCGGCGGCCTTACCTGGGCAGCGGCTTGCGGGCGGTGATGCTGGCCACGATGACGCTCTCGGGTCTCGGCGTGGCCACGGCCTTGAAGGTGCCTCGCCAGAACTTCTCGAAGAGCAGCTTCTCGCCCTGCTGCACGCTGGCCATGGCGGGGCGGGGGCGGGGCGCTCTCCGCGGTGCTGAACGCGGCCTCCGCCCCCGGGCCGGGCCGGGGCG